TACATTACATACTGTATAAAGTTACATGTATAAATTTAAGTTTTAGTTTTAAATGTAAAGACTAAGTACTCAAGAATAATATGAATTATAACTTTTTTTAAAGAAATGAAAGTTATTATTATTTCACAACATTTTTAATGTGGAAAAAATGTTTCTTGATTTGTAAACATGTTTTACTTATTTTGTAACAAATTTTGTTGTTTGCGTTGAATAACAAGAAAATTGTTTTCTTCAAAATTCCCATTCATTCGCAAAGAGTCTGGAAATGAGTGCCTTTTCTGAGACTATCAGTTGAAGAGTCGTGAGAGTTGTGTCAGTAAATCGCATGCAATGCTTGAGACAAATGTGTTATTTATTCGCGTCGCCAATGATTTGTGATTTGAATTTTTAATTTCTCTCGCATTTACAGTACATCTCACCGATAAAAACTCGAGATTTGCCAGTGTTTTGACTTATCCATCACTAGTAAGGCTCAGCCTATTTCTGGACTTTTTGTTGTGACGCAAACCCGAAGGACAGCTAAATATTTTTGTTTCAAAACGTCTTCAAATTGTTGTGTAAAAAACCAGTGATTGGTATTTAAATAGACGTCTAAATTGAGAATAATTTTCATTTGAAGTTTTCATGTGAAAGATATGACTACAGTATACTCTTCTTCTCGCACTTCAAGTATTGAATTGAATGTTTGACAGCAAACCATACAAACTATAAGATAAAGTTTTCTTCATTCTCTTTACATATGATTCCTATAATTATTTTATTGAAGACATAAATCAAATGAGAGGCAAATTCTGCTTCATTGCAAAAGAGGAGAAATAAAAACGTGTATTCAATTGATGTGTTCAATAAGTCTGCATACTTTTAGTGGTCATTCGCATTAATGATCGGCCCATCACTACATCGCCGGTCTATTCAATGATTGCGTGCATCGCATGACTTCGGGTCTCCGATCAAAATACTCTTCACATCACATCTAATATACACTTCTTTGTAATAATTAAGTGAAAGGAAAGAGTATTTATTGAATCGAAACTTGTTTTCGAAGTCAACATTCCATCAAAGGGTCGAAAAACCAACAATTAGTGAAGAAAGAGGTACTAAATGCACGCCTTTTCCATCTCTCACTCACTTTTATAAACATTAAATATCAGACTAAATATGAGAGAAGTTTTTTCTTGTGGTCGACTTACTCTAAAAGTCCCATTACTTTAGTTTAGTTTTTTCTTTCTCTCCCTCTTTCTGTCGCACCAAAACTTGAATTTCGTATTTTGTGTTCAATTTATAGATATTTGTTGCAAAAATTTGACTAATTTGGAGGTAACGGACACTTGAGTTCAGTGCACCACAAGAAAACCAGGAGCTCTTTGAGAGAGAGACGAAGCATTCAATTTGCTCGACGATTACGAGAGTGCATAAGAGTGTGTGAGTGTGAGTGCGCTCTGTATCGCTCTCTCCGGCCCTCTCTTCTCAATCTCTATCTCCCTCTCAACGCAAAGCAAACCTGAAAAACAGGAACTAATTATCGATTCCAAGTTCAAGATCATACCTACCCGTCCCCTATCTGTGCCCATCCGACTCCTCATCTCTCTTCAGACGAGAGAACATAGAAAGAGAGAGAAGAAGTGTTTCACTTCTTCAGTAACTTTCACCACAAGAACCAAAACTTTGTGATTGTTTTCGACGCAAAAAAAATCGTTTCTGTTATTTGAAAATAGCATTAGTTTACGATTGCATTGAATCTCAGCATATCTTCTGTGCTTTAAATTGTTTTTCTTCAATAATCAATAAAAATTGATACAAAAATGCAATTTTTATATTTAGTGTATTTATTAATTATTTTGAACATTAAATACTCATTTGGTTTGCCTTTTTGGGTGAAAGCGGGACCAAAGACTTATGTGAGATATAATACAATTCCCACCATTAGAACCATACCTACCATCAGAAGAATACCAACGTTTCCACTGAGCAATCAATTCCAACGACGAAAAACACAGTCGACGACAATTCAACGCGGATTTTACGACTCGTCCAACAAATTTGAAAACATGTTTCCCGACGACCAATACATTGAACAAAGACAGATGAAAGACATACCGAGTGATGACTCGAGTGATTTGCATCCAATCTATGTCCTCCCGCCGCCAAACTTCCAGCCCATCGTATATCCGACCTCCCGATCAGATGGTGTCCAACCGGGCGCTAAACTCGATGGACACGAAGGTATTCTTCTCAAGCGTCAAATACCATACGATTATCCGCATGGCGTCAGTTCCTGGATATTCGGCGGTCTTAATGGTATCCAAAGGGGAAGTTATTGGGAACAGTTATCATCAGATCTGGCACTTCATAATCCCGTTAAACAACAGCCAAAACGTGTTGTCGTTTATCTTAAGAGGACAACAGAACCCAAAGCCCAGCCAATATGGCCCGCGTTTCCAGCGTTTCCAGAGTTTCCAACATTTCCCATATTTGAAGCGAGTAGTAGTGTTGCCAAAGACAAGGACCCAACAAATACCATCAATAATATCATCAGTAAAAGCAAAATCAATAACAAGAGCGGCAAAGATAAGACTCTAAAAACCAAACTTCCGGTCGGTTTGAGTAGCTTTTTCTTGGGAGGAATGCGTGGTGTGAGTGGCCGTCACTGGCAGATGCCGTCCGCACTCGTCTCGTCCGTTGAATTCATGCCAAACGAGTCCAACACCGCTGCAGACAAACACAAGAAGAAGATTGAATACAAGCCGGCCGTGCATTTCGACGACGACAACGATTTCTACAATTATAACGTTATAAAAGTGGACAAAAAATAATTCTCATATTTAGACATTAATTCTTCATTGAAATTCATTTTCAACTTTTCTTGTTTTGCTTGTAATTTAAATTCTAACACAAAAAACATTGTGTTTTTGTTTTTTAATTAATTTAAGTGTATTTATATAAACAACTATTTAATTACAAAAATTCATCTATTCTTCACTCTATCATTGTTTTTATTTTTTGAGGTGTAATAAAATTGTGACAAAATAACTGAAAATAATTTCTCAAATGTTGTTTTGCTTTTATTTAATGTGCGTTTATTTTGTGGCCGTTTTTATGTGAAGTTTTTATGTCTAAGAATATCTTTCGCAAAAAAGTCATAAACACATTCAAAATCTGATAAAAACACACACTCTTTGAAATCAAAACAAAAAAGTTTTAATAATATTTCAAACTTGAAGTACAAACTGATTGATAAACTCAATCATAATCTTATATTTTGTTTATTACGAGAAAACATTTCTTCTCTTTCTCTCTCAAAACAGTATAAAAACAAAGTTTTTCTAAATATTATTTTCTTTGCGAGAGATTTCCATTAAATATAAACCGAAAAACAGTGTATTTTAAAGTTATGTTTGTGTCCTTTGAATGTGTTTTTAACATAAAATGATTTATGTTATCAATTATTTATATACGAAATAAAAAATATCTTTGACTAACCTTTCAAATAGTATTTTAATCTTTTTATTCATAACCTAATAATCCGATCCATTGCTCCATTCGTTCGCCAATTCATAACAAATTGAAACCCCTATTGAAGTTAATTATGTTAAGAATTATGTTGAGTCCATTAAATATTCTCCGCGAGTATTGCCTTCAATATCAATAAAATTGTTTATCTATTAATAAATTACTTTTGGATTATCTTTTTATATATAATTTACGATTTTCTCTGTTTGACACAAAATTATTATAAATTAATTAATTTCTTCATTCTATGCGAGAATTGGCAACAAATCAATACTCATTATTAGCTTTATATCAATAAAAACCTGAACGTGTTATTCACTCGATATAATTCATTTAATATGCATTAGTCTTAATACAACACTTTACCCATCAATTAGTGATAGAATTTCTAATTACTGTTGAATGGATCGGAAAAACCAATTAAATTCTAATTGAAAAGTTGTGTTAATTAAGAGATAATATATTTTTTTAATTCTGTTATAAATATTTTCAAATAAGTTAATTTATTTATGAATTTAAGTTAATATTTCATATTAGTGTTCATTTAAATGTTAAGTATTTTTAAAGAATTTAATTTTTTTTTATAAAAATCGTGATATTTTAAACTGTGTATTGAATTCATTTCAAATGAATAATAATTATTATTATTGAATGAAGTGAAGGGTCTCTTAAGACAAAGTTTCGATGAATGAAAGCCGGATTCAAATCACTTATTGTAAAAATACTTCTAATGATTGATAATAGCATTAAATTGTTTTCTCTCTGGTTTTGTAAACATTCATTTGAAATGTTTGAATAATATTTTCAATGTTTTTTCAAACAAACGTCTCTTTAACTAAAATAATTGATGTTTAAAACGAATTATCAAATATTTGCCAATCAATTGTCATTTGCAGACAAATTTATTGAGAATATAAAATATTAATAACATTTATAATGAATTGAAATAAAGGCAAACAATACAAACATTTACTTCGGAAATGTAGGCATAAATCCTTTTCCTGACAATAGACAGGATTATAATACTGTACTTATTTTACGCAACATTTCATTATTCAATGCATACAATAAAACTTCAATAACACTAATCGCAAGAAATTCAATAAAAGTGTATTTCATAAAAATGAAAAATATAAGTCATTGTTACTGAAAAAATGTGTGAATCAAATAATTTCACATTAAATGCTATGGTATTTGAAAAGTGTTGAAAACATTTTATTATTACTATTTCAATGACTTTTCAAATTGAATTAAAAATGGATATTATTATCGTATCGATTGGAGGCCTTATTATAGTAATGCTAATAACAGTTGTTATGTTTCTGTCCTTTAAATTATATAAGTATAAGAATATATGCCATAGTTATGAAAGTCTTGAAAAATACCAACAAATAAACGATTGGATTAAATATATACCACAATCGGAGACCCGAATACCTATAAATCGAAAACACGATAACAGAGTTAATGTGAATAATATATGCAATCGTATGGCGAGTGATAAGAGCGAAGGTCTGACAATCTGTGAGATGACATCCAGAGATCGGAGCGTCAGTCCATTGGAAAGAGACTCTCCAGCACTCAATCATATAATGAATGCCAATAATAGTAATCACAATAATTCGGGTGAAATAGAAATCTCCGATTTCTCGGCGATTAATAGCGAATTGCCTGCCATTGACTTCAAACTGGTTTACATGAGCCAAACATCCACTCTTAAGATGCATATCAAACGAGTCAATAGTTTGCCGCTTCAGTTCAGGAAAAATTGCTCGTCTTATGTCAAGATATCCCTCATTACCGATAGGTATATAAAGTATACACAAACCACTTATTAATTATATAATCTATACATTCGTACCAAACATATAAAGTAAAGGTATATTTATTTCGCTTTGAAGTCAAAGAGTTTCTCCTAAGGAATCGTTGCCTTTTCATTGCAAAAATATGTTGTCTTTGTATGACATTAAAAGTTGTTTGACTTTTTATTTTAATAATAACTTATGAAATATAAATATATGAACGGTATGTGAGTTTGTAATTACATTAAAAGCTTTTCCATTAAGACATTAATTTTCTCAATAATACCCATCCATTCAATCCAATGAACTGTTTCTTGTGGTGTAATGTTTGTAAACCTTTATCTAAATCATCAAAAGGAAACGAAATGTGTATAAAAATAGGTATTTTATAGGACAGTCGTATTAGCACAGAAAAAACATAGCATTTGAACTCACAGTGAAGCTGGGCTTCAAAATCAATCATTTTGTGCATTGAATTAAAGCTCAAAAATATTTAATTCTTGCTTTAAAAAGAGAAAAGTAGAGAGAAATACGAAATATCGCTTAAAATTCACTAAAAGAAATGATTTGCGAATATTTCGTGGGATTAAAGAGTCATAAAAACAGTGACACAAAGAACTAATAAAAATAAATACGAAAATTATGGAAACAAAAAATCACTTTATTTTGGGTTTTTCTCTTTCAAAGCAGCGAAAAGCTCTCCACATATCACACAAATGTGATTAAGAAGTCTTTAAACCCCGAATACGAGGAGGACTTTACCTTCTCGTCGCTCACATACGAAGAGCTGAGGAATATAACCATAAGAATATGCGTTTACGTTAAGCGAAAACAATTATCCAAACGACAATTGGTGGGCGATCTATGGGTTCCGCTCTCCAGACCTGATTTAGAGCCTGATATTGAGCTGAACTGCCGCGAGAAGCTGTCATTAGCGTGTCCTCAAACAGGCAAACGAGTATTACTATAATTTAGTACACATTTTATTTCTTTTTCTCTGTTTTTTGTTGAATCAATTATTGGCAAATAATTAGCAATTTTTATACGATATGACCAAATATGCGATAAATTGTATTCAATGACCGTTTTATAGGGTCCTCTCCTAATGGCTGGAAGACTGGGATTTCTATTCATTGAGTTTCAATACCAAACCGAAGCGCAACGATTCAAAGTTGTCGTAAGAAAAGGGCAAAACTTATACAACAAGTCAATCAGTTATAGTAATTTTCAAATCACAAAACCGGGTATGACTTCAAACGTATTGCTATTCTTAACATTCATAAAACACTCACAAATCACTTCAATTTGAATGCCTTTCTTAGAGCTGTCACTAGAACTTAGAATTGCATTAGAATTGCATTTTTCTTTTTATATATTATTCTTTCATATCTAAACGATTCAAACAATTGAATTGAATTTTTAACCACAATTTATTTATGAAGAATGTGGTGTATAGAATCTCTATACCCACCCTATGGGATTTAAGTCTATGGCTATACTTTAGTATCATGGGCAATGCTAAGTCTATAGACAATGTTAACTTTATAAGACTAATTCTAATAATATAATTTATATTATATAAACAATGCTCACTCTATGGGACTTATACAAAATTAATGGATAATGCTAATCTATTCTTTGAGCATCATCCAAATTGTGCTTAACGTATAGCATCACTGTATGTTCCTTGTTTTGTTATATAAGAGATATTATTATCATTGAATAAAATTGTATAACATTTTAAATGATTGTATTTATAGAGTATTACGTAATCGTAAATGTGTTGCAAAACAACGAGACAGTGGTGTATAAGGAGACGAAGTGTGCGGTCGGAGTGTCACCGGTTTGGAATCAGCCGTTCCTCTTTGATGTGAACGAGACTGAGATCAACACGTATTGGATTCAGTGTTTAGTAATGCAGGGGAAGAGTTATACGAAGGATGGAGTGGTGGGTCAGGTGCTGATCGGCCCCAACACGACGGTGTCGGGCGTCGAGCACTGGTCAGATGTGATGCGCTCGGAGTCACGGGAGATGTCTAAATGGCATCCCATAGCGAGTGTGGGAACCGCTTGCCTCTGAGGCACGCAATTAGGGTTCAAAAGACGTTATAATTGGCTTTCATTGAACAGACAGTATTATCATCGGTTGTGATGATCGATAGGCACTCATTACTACTCCGATGAACGCGTGATCAACAAAATGATGATAAAACTAAATATTTTGTTTTTTCGCCCATTAATATCATTAGAGAAAATGTTTTACAAGAAATCATTTCTCTATAATTAGATGAGAAATTCTTTTGACATTAAATAATGAGTTGATTAGAAGAAGAAGTGGAGAATCATTTCAAGATAAATATCTTCTCAAAAATACATAACTATTCTGGAAATCATATGATTTTTTAAAATGTAAAATAAATTCTAAATATATATGTCATTAGGATTTAAGCTTAGCTTTTAAGCAAAAAAAAGTGAATTCATAACTTATTTATTAATAAAACCTATATTTTATTATAATTTTAAATCTCATTAATCTTTTGATTTATATTTTGCTATATTTTGGTCACAAAGAAAATGATAAATAAGTAACGAATAAATCACAAAATGAATGATTAGACAAAAATTCAAATCTCATACCAAAACAAGAAAATAAGTGGTTATATATATTAAATGAAACTAAATTATAAACAAAAAAAATAATAAATTCACAAAATATACTCTATCTAAAAGTCAGGTATGTTTAGGAACAGTAGGTATGCGTCGATGAGAATATAGATAAATTGTGTAATGATTTCCTAATATATATTAATGTAAGTATTTTGAGTGGAAAGACACAGAATATGTGTTGCCATAAGTCTTGTGTTTTCAGTCAAAATAGCCTTCGAATTAATATGTGTTGAATTGAATTATCGTTTTTATATTCACTTTATATATATTTCAGTCGGTTTTTCGGGAAAATTAACGGTTATTTGAATAGTAATTCTGTAATAAAAATGTAATAAAAAAGGTTTATTAATATGAGACTAACGCCGCTATAAAAATAGACTATCAGTTCTCAAATCAATTTAAAATTCATACAAAAAACATATAATTTATTGATTCAAATAAATTAAATTAATATAAAATATTCTGAGACAATAAAAAGCAATGGAAAAGGGATTTACTATAATCAGTGATAGCCATCCCGGAGCCCAATCTGTCTTCACAAGTGTCACTCATAATCGGACATAAAGTGTTAATATTCAAAATGAGTCGACCATTGGATATACATAACAAGTCTTGTAATCAATTTTTGTGTCGACAAAAACAGATACAAAAATTTAGAAAATATTTTTTCTAAATTTATTTTTAAAATCTCTTTTTAAATCGATTTGAAAATGTTTTTATACGGGTTTGAAAATATACTAAAGTCTAGTAATCAATGATAATCTGCAGACAATTTTTTATGTAATTCGCATTCAAATGGCATAATTGTAACCAAAAAAGTTTCTAGGGTTTTTCTAATAAATAATTGGTAAATTATTGCATTCATTTTGATATAAACTCATATTGAATAACAACAAAAGGCTAATAATTTAGAATTTGATATAAACTCCAAGAACTGGACATCTATTCATTTTATTCAATCATTTAATCAATTTATTAATTATAAAGATGATTACAAAATTACATCTAAATTGGTATTTATTTGCAAAGTTTGAAAACATATAGTATTGCTGTTTGAGAAAATGTTTGAGTCTTATTACGATAACCTCAAGAATATTTTCTAAACAGGTGAAAATTAAAATTTGTATTTAAAATTCTAATTGTATTAAAAGATTTAGTGTCTAATAATTAGATTAACTTTTCAGAAGTGGTTAAAATAATTTGCTATTTGCACGCAATTTGTTATAATTTGGTTGTAATTAATTGTGAATAAAATCTAATAAATATCTCCATAAAAATCGGTGCAACAAAAGTTACTAAACAATAATGTTTATAACAAGCGTTTATTTAATTAAATGTGAATAAATTTAGACCTAAATTAGGCCAAAAATATAGCCATAGATAATGCTAACAATGAATGTAATGTGCATTTAATTTTCAAATGAATTTACTCTCAAATAAATAGTTGTGAATATTATGGCAACTGTTCAGACATTGAAGACAATTGTTTGTTATATTAAAGATGTTTTCAAAAGTCAAACCATTGGATACTAAAAACAAGTGCTGCGAATAAATTAAACTTCATATGACCTCAAAATATAATTTATACAATAATTTTCTAATAATAATTAAAATAATATTCATCTCATTCATAGAAGTTATACAATAAATGTCTAAACAATGAGACAAACAAATAAAACAAAAGTAATTTTAAAGAGGTTTTTCCAAAATATAATTAATGATTTTCTTGAACTACAAGTGTATTGGCTCTCAGAATAGCGTGTAATAAGAGTTTGCAAAATATGTTGTTTTGTTAGACATTTCTATCGAATTCAATGCTATTAAGTGTTGAATAGTTTTTAATATAAAGACTTTATATAAGACTTATACTATTTATTAATGATTTGTTTTGAACTTATAATTTTCATACACAGTATTAGAAGTCTGTAAATTAGTTAGTAATTAATCGCTTCATTAATGAATACTAATTAAAATAATTAATTATTTATTAAATCGTCGCACATATTAAGGGATTCACGAATAGATTATGTTAGCATTGAGAGAGAGAGAGAGAGAGAGAGAGAGAGAGAGA